TAATTGTCCTCATTCATCTTCAGCCATTCTTCTATTTTCATTCAGTCATTTTTTATTTTCAAAAGTTTATGATGTAAGAAATAAGTTGAAAAGGAAAAAAAAATTGTTTACTGCATATTCATCTAACTATCCCATATGCTTAAAAAGATATTTCTCAAAAACATGAAAGAGAGCAGAAAGACACTGGCCAGTTTAAGAAATACTGTATCAAACTGATGGGTTTATCATACTAATAATATGATTCAATAAATGCTAAAATATTAGGGGTTAAAGAACTGTGGGTATACTTAAAGTCCTTTTATAATTCCAATAGTTGAAATTGGTATTTTTGACCAATTATCTTAGTTTCTTCTACAGAGTTTCAGCTAATATATAAAATAATAAGAGATTTTTTTTTTCTTTAGTTAATCTTATCAAGGACTTGCTTAATGAAGAGTTCAGCTCCAGTATCTGAAAGGGATTTTAGTCCTTGTGGGAGATTTGCTTATGGAACACTGGTAAGGAATCAACCTATAGCAAGAATTATTTTTCCATGTTTTGCAATGTTGAAATTTTAAAAATAGATATATAAAGTATTAGAAATGTACAATTCTACTTCATGTTTTTCTGTATCATCCTTTACACCAGAGACCCTCCTCTTCAAACCAGCTTGCTTTAATTCAGTTGTTAACTGAAGCAATGGTTCAGGAAGAAATATTTCTGTTTCAATTACTAGCTGAATTAACAATTTAAATAATTGATTCTGCCAATATCATATTTAAAATTAATTAAAGGAAAGACAGAATACCAGATTCTATTACTCCTAGGGTTTTCTCCAAGTTAGGACACAAGCCAAGAGACAAGCCCTTTTTCTTCTATAAAGAAAATCTTCCTTGAGAAGTATGTAGAATGAGTTACTCACTTTCCTGCCAAATAGGAAAAATAAGAACACACACACACATACATATATATATACCTCTATATATATACATTGTGTTGAATCATGTTTGCCAGATCAGCTGGACGTTTAATGAAAAGGAGTCAGGGCCTGATGTATCTCTCACAGAAATAACTGGAAGGCTTTCCATCAGCTCCAGTGAGAGCTGGCTCTAGCCCCATTTGCATGTTTTCAGGCACAGCACCAGTTTTCATTTCCTGACCTCTGTGTAATTCCACTGAGGATGGCACTACTGCAGAGAGAGAAGAGCAACTTCTCAGAACCTAGAAAATATCCACCACATTTTCAATTAACATTCTCCACATACAATAACAACCCTATTCATTATATATTTCTATCCACATCTTCTGTGTTACCATTCATTTAAGAAAAACAAAATATACTATAAATTGTTCTATTACAAAGCTTTCATCTGCCATATTTTCATGAATGTACTGTCAGACACATGCATTCATACATGTGTGTATAATCCTTTATCTCTGCTGCAAGGACAAAAATGTCTTTTGATGTACATGAATAAAGGAGCTATACATTGCAAGCCTTTCTATTAGAGAATCATAGAATGGTTTGGATTGGAAGGGACCTTGAAGATCAGTCAGATCCAACCCCCTGCAGTGGGCAGGGACATTTTCCATTACCCCAGGTTGCTCAGAGCCCCATCCAGCCTGGCCTTCAGTACTTCAGGGATGGGGCAGCCAAGCTTCTCTGGACAACCTGTGCCATGGCCTCAGCACCTCAGAGGGAAGAATTTCATCCTAATATTTAATCTAAACTTGCTCTCTGTCAGTTTCAAGTCATTCCCCCTTACACTGTCACTACATGTCCTTGTAAATAGTGTGTGACCATAAAGAATGAAACAGTAGTACTGACTATAAGGCAGATCATTCCAGATTTCCTAAACCAGTCCCTTAGAACTTGTCATTTTCTAAAATCAATGTCATAATTCATAAGGACTGTCTGTTTATCTATTTGCTACTTAACCTGAGGCATTTCACACAAATGTTTCAACTTCTTTAGCTGTAAATTAATTCTCTCCTGAAATAATAGAACCTTAGGGTGTTATTGTTACAGTAATTTCACACCAGTCTTTCATGAAGCGCTCTGAATTGAGCCCTCACAGTTGCCTTCTCACCCTCTGAATAACCAATAAAATATTTATTCAAACAGTCTGAATAGGATGGTGGAGGGTGAAATTTTGTTCTTTGCTTATTCCAGTAGCGGAAACACACCAAGTCGTGTTTTGTATGAGGGCTGTTATTCTAGAACACAAACCCCACTGGGCAAGTAATACATTAGATGTGTCATACTTCGTCTTGACAGGATCATCAGGCTGATTTGGAATTTGCTGCCTGGGTAGAGTGACTCATATGTTTACTGGCCCTGACAGGTGCTGGGCATCTTCCGCACTCATTAAAGTTAATGACTTGAACAGCAGAGAGGGAAAACTGTGTGCTGGTTTCCTCTGAACCAGTATTCCCAAGTTATCATTTAAGAGAGGATGTAAGTGGTGTCACCTTTCTTCTGCAATCACAAAAGCAGCCCCTAACCAAACCCCTGTCCCTTCATTGCAAAAAATAACCCAATTAGCTTCACAGGAACTCCTTGCTGGAGTACGACAAGGAAAAAAATTGCACCGTACACAGATCTTTGCACACAAAAGCTGGTTCTTGCCATAAAACCAGTCACTTCCTCACTGGAACAGAGGAATTAACATATTGGAAACAAGCCAGCAATTTTATAGAAATACATGCCTTTAAGTAAGCTCTGGACCTGTATTCTCACAATAGCCATTCTTTGGCATCATTTCTATCCCAACAAGCCACAGCTGCTGAATTGGAGACTTCTGACTTCATGTTAGATAAGTAATGAGAAGTTATAGGCAGCGGTGCCAGAGCCAGTCCTTTGATATTAACACAGCACACTACAGTTGTTGACCAGCCACACATAAAAAAGATATGCCTTTAATTTACACTAGTTAGCTAAAAATATGCAGCAGAAAACTTCACAGAGACTTATGCCATGACATTAGACTGTCAACCAAGACATGAAGAGTTAGAGACCTCACAGACATCTCTGTATTCACAATAAACCAAGAAATTAGGAGGATTGAATCTGTAACTACAGAGACATGTCTGCTTTGATGCCTGTCCAGCTACTAGGTCTGCCCTGGTAACATGACAAAGTTCTGTACCCTGGCTTCCACCCAACAAAACAGAAATACTGAGCCAGAGACCTCACAGAAACCTGTGTCTTTATATTATCCTGCCACACAACATCTCCTGAGCTTGATCTTGCAAAAAGAAAAGGCTGGAACCTCTAAAAATAAGGCTGAAGAATTATTGCAGTCTTAAATACTCATCACTTTTAATATCTAGCTTTTCAGGGTCTTCCAAAGCAAAATGTAATGGTGCATTTCCACAGTTAGGACAGTTTAATTGAACTGTTACGTTTAGTTTTTTTCCTCTTCTGAAGTTCTCAGATCAAAATGTATTGCTCTCATAATTTCGTACGACACTGACGTACAAAGGTCTGAGCAACACATCTTCCCACCCCAGACTAATGTGCTGTTTGCTGGACAGAATTAGTAGGCAGAATGTTCACTGATGGAAAACTGCTCAGTTGCTTTGAATGTATTTCAGTAATTTGGGGAACACTAATTCAGAAATTCAGTATTTTTTCCATCCACATTGGCAGAGAAAGCAATTTGACAAAAAATATTCTATGTTAGCCTTTTCATTCTTGATGTCTGAAAGGAGTTTTTCCGACTTTTGTAATGCTGGACCTTTACATTGTTCCTTGTTTTCCACCTATTCATTTAACATTTCTTCTTGGGTTCTTTCTTGGTTTTTAGTGTGGGGTTTTCTCGTTTGGTTGGTGTTTTGGGGGATTTTTGTTTGGGTTTTTTTCTGTTTCTTTTTGTTTTACCTTAATTTTATAATTATTTCTAGAGCATCAATGGCTGACTTGTTTCCAGTTCCCATTTACTTTAAGCCAAAAAAAAAGCTGAAGAGCAATTCTTTTATTGGACTTTTACTTTGATTCCTCACTTGGAAGGCCAAGACAGCTGGGTAATGTGTAAGACTCCACAACGTTCTGCGAGTCTCTGCTTATTGGGCAATATCAAAAGTCCACTAAAATAATTGAGAATCTTTTCATGATCTTCTGTGGAGTTTGGTTCAGCACAACAGGTGAAAGGCAGGCTCACTGAAATGAAAGATTCCCTGGAAACACTTTACAATGCTGGTCAGCAGAAGAAAGGGATAATGAGGTTCTTCCACAAGCTAAATTTGTTGGACCAAACCTGAAAACTTGAAAATTCTTCACTTTGGGTACTGATTCTCAACCAGCAAATTAAAATTTTTTTTTCTCCCTGGAAGTTGTACATGGTATTGGAACGTTTAGACTTTTCTGGCACACGTGGAATGCAGGGAATGAACAATGGTTAACCAAGCCTAATGGACCAAGACTACAGAATTTGTGAATGTTTAAAAAATAGATCTCAAGTCAACAGTTTACAAGAGGAGATTTATTTAAAAGGGCTTGTTCAAAAAAGTTTGAAATAGCCATCAAAATCCTGAACCCGCTTCAGTTCTGAAAATGATCTACCAACTATTTTTCTATTTGTCCTGGAAATGCCATTAAAACTTCACAGCTGTGTAACTGCAACAGGACTAAAGACACCAAGATTACCTTTGCAAGTGAAATCACCATAATAAAAGCTGCTTTTTTCATTGTGCAGAAAGTGCAGGCATTCTGAGGGATTGCTGTAAGAATTCTGTAGTGATTATCTTGGGAATCAGGCACTACTCTACAGATTAGATCCTGAACCACCTGTCAACTCCATTTCTATGCAAATTGCTTTACTTTGAAAGACATGACCTCAAAGCCCTACAATGGCAACTGCAGGCCTGCATTTCACCACACCACCATCTACCAACTCAAAAGGCTAATTAAGAGCACTAAAAAAGTGCCTTTTGCAACCTCTGAGAGACAGACAAAAATATAATCACAACATAACAAAACACAAATTCCACATAAATTAAAAGAGTAAGCTGCATCTCACCTCATTTGAATTTTCTGTTGTGATGTTTTTATTTTTCAGCTTTTTCTGCAGCAGTTTGGTTTCATACTCTGGCCTGGGATGCTCCTGAAAAAGACAAAAACAAACAAACAAATGTGATTATGATTAAGAGGAAATTCCCCAAAATTTTTGGTCACATTTTTTTTTTCACAAACAAAGCCATCAAGATGATTCACCTCCACACACTTTTGGACTAGGCTATCAGATCTGGCCCAGCTTCCCTAATCAATAAACTTTCAATGTGCCTTTGCAAAATATATTTTTCTTTCCCAAATTAGAGCATAAATTAAGCAAGGTGACAAAAATTAACCAGGCTTTTCAAGTGAGCAGCTCATAAAAGGGAAAGTTATCATGCGTCTTCTCATCCCCACCAAGTTCTGAATTCATTGAGCTGGAATCTGGATTGACATCTCCCACAAAAAAAGTCTATTCCTACAGCATTGGCCATGTCATCCCTCTTTACTATAATTACAACCCTTGTATATCAGGCCCATCCAAAAAAAGGGTTATTAACATTTTCTAATTAATCTGATAGTAATGAAGAAAACAAAAAACATTTTAAATTAATAAATCCTCATAAGCAATAGAATGGAGCCTACATGGAACTCTACCAGAATACCCTGAGAGATACAGGTGGTATAATTTTCTGCATCTGTAACTTTTTCACCAGAGCAGACACAATCCTCACCATTCTCTGTTGCATATGAGACTACAAATGCAGTGATACCTCCAAACTATTTATTATCCTGATAATGAGATTTTCCTAATGCATTCAAAAGGTATGTAATAAAGTGTTGCTTCTGGGCCTGGGGGTCTGTCCGACCCCCAGCTTCTGCCGGTAACAAGCCCAGATAGACATCCTGGGTAAGAGAGCCACCATCCAGGGTTTCCAGGCAGTTTCCAGCCAGGGGTAACCCTTAGGAGCGTGGCCAGAGGCTTCAAGTGATCAGCTCTTTTAGAAGTGATTTCTGCTCCTGCAGTGATCAGCTCTGTTCAGCCCAGCCAGCTGTGTTCAGGGGTTACCCCAGCCAATGCAGACAAGAGATGGGAACACCATGTAGCATTTCACAGAAAGTCTTTAATGCAGGCTTCAGCAAAGGGGGGCAGTGATGATCTAACCCTGAACTGGGCAAAAGCCATAGTTTTTATAGGGAAGGGGAGAATCAGGAAGGGGACCAATGGTCTGAGACCAGGATAAAATGACCAATAGTTAACAGGGAGATAACATGGGGTCCTGAAGCAGGAAGGGGTCCACAGCATAGTCACTGTGACTAGGTGGTTTTGTCTTGTCTTAGGGGACATATCTCCAGGGAGAATGCCTGTCAGAGGACTGGGCTTCCTCCACAACTCCTGTCTCTGTATTTAGTAAAAAGGCATTTCCTATAGCTCATTTGAAGCAACAGAGAAGGCATGAGAAGATAGGTAAGACAATAATAATCACAATAAAAATCCATAAAGTCCCCTTAACTAAAGATGACACCCATCCCGTTAGTCCCCAGTGACCAAGAAGCTAATTTTCATCTTTGGGCAGGGATGTGGCTTCTGATAACAAAATTTGGTTGGTTTTTTTTTTTTTTTTTTTTTGGGGGGGGGGGCAGGGAGGGTTAGGGTTTTCTCCCTCATCCCTTTCATCTGTTCTTTCTCCCCCTTTTTCTATTTACTAAAAGCCGAAGATGGGGGAGGTAGGTATAGGGTTTAGGGAGGTTCTGGCAAGGGTTGAGGAAGGGGGACATGAGGGTTTTTAGGGAAAAAGGGGTAACAACATATAAACTAGGCAGCAATTTGTGACCAGGCTGTGTCTGGCCTATGGCTTGACTGATGAGGGAACATCTTGCTCAGTTCTCTGTTTTGTCTGCTATTGGGTGACTGGATGATCTTCTCTCTGGTTTGTAGATGCTCGGTGACACTGCAGTCTCCATGCAGAGCAGTTCTGGTTTTGTGGAGGTCTTGTATTTGACTCAGGAGAATTCTTGTTAGTGTCCATGGGGGCAGTGTTTGCAGTGCCTAGATACGGTTTTATGTTTTTTCCTGAGAACCATCTTGGGCCAGATGGTAGTGAGACACAGGCATAGCCTCTTCCCCAGGTAATCAGTTGGAAAGGCCTACAAACCTGATGAGTCTCTGGGTCTTTTACTAGCACTGGTGGCTTCTCAGTGAGCTTAGCTTGGGTTGAATTTGAGAAGTGGCGAAGGATTGGAGGGTCAGGCTCAGATGCTGTACAATTTAGGAAGTTAATGACATAGAGGGCCTTACAAAGTGTCTCGACAGGGGATGTAATTTCTGCTTCTCTCCGTTGTTCATGGAGGACTGTTTTGAGGGTTTGACAAGTCCTTTCTATGATAGATTTTCCTGTGGGATTTGCAGGTATGCCTCTATTGTGTTCTATTCCCCACTCACTGAAGAACTCTTTTAACCTGTAAGAGACATAGGTCCACTGTCTGTTTTGATGTTTTTTGGGACTCCCAGAGTGGCAAATGCCAAGAAGAAAATGCTTGATGGTGTGAGTGACACTTTCTCCTACATAAACTGATGCAAATACTGCTCCAGAAAACATGTCAACTGACACATACACTTATTTAGACCTTCCAAAAGATGGAAAATGAGTCATATCAGTCTGCCACAGCTGACAGCTGTTACTGCCTCGGGGATTGACCCCGGTACCCATAGACAGCATTTGGTAATTTTGGCAATTTGGGCATGTTGCAATAATAGCTTTTGCTTGATCTTTTGAGAGCTTGAACATTCTGATGAGGACAGGTACATTTTGGTGATAAAATGCATGTGACAACTTTGCCTGAGCAAAGATGTCAGGGACATTAGCCATTTCCACTGGCATGTCCATCCACTGGCATGTCCAATGCATCCACTTTCCTATTCTCTTCTGTGATGGCACCTGGTAGGTTGGTGTGTGACCTCACATGCATAATATGGTAAGGTTGCTTTCTGTGGGAGATAAAACAAGTTAATGCAGAGATCAATTGGTGTAATTTTGGATTTGAAACGTCTTTGAGAAAAGCATGTTCTGCCCTCATAGCTATACCAGCAACATAAGCTGAATCTGTGACCAAATTAAATCTTTGAATTTCTCAAAGGCTCTGACAACAGCTGCTAACTCATCTATCTGTGGGGATCCTTCCATTATTTGGACATCAGATTCCCACTTTTGGGTCTTGGGGTCCTTCCAGGTCATCACAGACTTGTGGGATGACCCTGAGCCATCTGTAAAAAGAGTTAGAGCTTTGAGAGGTGTCCTGCTTTGGACTAATTTTGGGGTCAGATTAAAGGCCGCATTAAAAAGTTTATGTTTTGGTATGCAGATTGAAATTTGGCCTGTTTAGCTATCCAGGACAAACTGGAGCTTTTCATTGGTCTGGAGCAAATGCTCTAGGTCTCCGGTAGTCAGTGGCAGGCATATGCATGTGAAATCACACCCTGCAAAAGAGTGGAGGCAGGTCCTGGCTTTTTTAATTAGATGTGCCAAGATTTCCTGAAATGTGGTAATTGTTTTTGTAGGCTGGTTGTTTGTAAAGATCCATTCAAGTATCAATAGAGGGTCTCTGAGCTGAGGATCCCATTGGAAAATCAGTCCATAGAAATGGGGGGCCTTTTCCAAAATGACAAACCGGAAAGGCAGGCTGGGCTCGAAGTGATGGGCTTGGTGTGAAGACAGGGCTTCTTGGATTTTGGTGATGGTATCATGGGCTTCTGGTATGAGGGCACGTGGAGAGTCCAGTTCTCTGCTGCCATGGAGAAGATGGAACAGGGGGGCGAGGTCTTCTGTTGTAATTCCTATCAGGGGATGTGTTCAGTTGATGGACCCACATAAACTGTACAAGTCTCTCAGGGTCTTTAGTTCATCTTGGATGGTGAGCTGCTGGGGTACGATGGTACTTTCACAAATTTGGAGTCTGAGATAAGTCCATGGGCTGGTGTACTGCACTTTGTCCTCACAAATCTCAAATCCTGCTTTCTCTGTAGTTTCAATGGTCTTTTTAACCGCTTTGTCCAAATAAATCTTTTCTGATGCACTGACCAGGATATCATCCATATAGTGGTGGATGATTGCATCTGGGAATAGCTTCCAGATGAGGGACAGAATGTGAGCGACGTACCACTGGCATATAGTTGGACTATTCTTGAAGCCTTGAGGTAGACAAAGCCAATGATATCTTTTGAGTGGAGCCTCTCTGTTAAGAGAGGGGATGGAGAAGGCAAAGCAGGAGGCATCTTGGGGATACAGTGGGATGCTGAAGAAACAGTCTTTGATGTCTATGATGTCAAGAGCCCAGTCTCGAGGCAGCATCAATGGTGAGGGAAGGCCAGGCTGGAGGGGACCCATGAACTCAATGACATTGGTGATCTTGTGAAGATCATGTAAAAAGTCTCCACCTGTCTTTTCCAGGCTTTTTCAGCACAAAGACTGGGGAGTTCCAAGGGCTGGTGGTCTCAATGATGTGGCCTTTGGCAAGCTACTCTTCAACTAGGGCTTCTAGTGCACGCAATTTCATCTTTGAGAGGGGCCACTGCTCAACCCAGACTGGGTCCTCAGATTTCCAAGTGAGCCGAGGGGTAGATAGCAGCGCACAGTCCTCAGTGGCGCCAGTCAGAAATTCCCACTGGCAATGTGTAAGGAAGCCCCCCACTGGGATAGAAGGTGCCTAGCCCTTAAGGTGATGGGAGCCCTTACCACGAATGACCGGATGGTTGCCATCTTGCCTTCAGGCCTTTCAACGATGACGTTCTGCTTGCTGTGCATAGACACTGTAACTCCACTGATCCCTGCAATCATGCCTGCCACAGGCTGCAGTTCCCAATTTGCTGGGCACTCTGAGCAGGCAATGATGGTCACATCTGCGCCAAAGTATCATTTAAATCATTGAATCTCAGAATACTCTGGGTTGGAAGGGTCCTTACATCTCGTTTCAACCTCCCTGCCATGGGCAGGGATACCTTCCCCTGTGATGTGTAAATGCTTTTGGTCGTAAGGAATGACAAAAGTCACAGGCATTGCAAAAAATCGTAAGTATTTAATGATAGATTACACACTTGGCATGGAAATTGGTATG